CAGATTATATTATTTAATTTATTAGAATATTAATTCAATTAAATAATAGATATTGCCATACATGCATCAATTATATATATTTAAAGTGTTTATATCCAAAGTTGATTGGACCTAGGGTATAACACTTACAGTTACTGCATCCATCTTCCCAAAATGTTAGCTTAATCTCATCCCACAAGAAATTTGGGTCCTTACCTTGATAGTAGACTCTCGATAATACATAGTTCTGATGCCAATCATTGTATAACCGAGGTGAATCTATTGAGAGAAACATTAGAGAGAAATTTTATTAATATTGAATATTGTGAAAACATATATGAACCGCTCAACATGAGGAGTCATGTTTCTATGTAGAAAGTTTAAATATGGAGAACTTGCTATAATATTGGTTGGAAAATCAAAGTAACAAAAGGAAAACTTTCTTAAAACCGAAAGACTATTATTACAAGCAAACAAATAAATTTCTAATTCCTAGAGTTATGCTTATAATAAGTGCAAGCATCTTCCTTACCAATGACTACAATTTTTGGATCTATGGAAATCTGATTAATCGACATTCAGTCAAGAGGAAGAATGAAAGTTGGTAGAAAATCAATATCTAAGTAACTGAACATGTCTACCAGAAGATTGCCATTAGCATGTTGGATATGCTGAGAGCTTTGTTCTTGTGCCTCTTGTACCTAGGATAGGAAGTATGCACTTATAGTCCAATCGAATATGTTACAATTATACGTTCTCATGAAACAAAGCAAGTATATTTGCCGAATACTGATGATATGTTTAAGGCCCATGCTAATTGCTTAGAGGGTTCAACAACCGTTTTCATTCTCAATTCTGGAGTGCACAATGAATAAAATAATTTGAAACGACTTCTTACTAATCCATACAAACGCTGACCTCTTTTTGGTAAAACAGAACAACTTAGTCCCATATTGGGGCTGATTATATATGTAGCGACCGAGAACTTTTAAATAATATAAAATTATTTCTCAAAAAACGTGTCGCTAAACTTTAACCTTAATTTTAAAGAAATAGCGCGTTCGTCTAGCAGTTATAAATGAATTTAAATTATTTCAAATCGAATTCAATATCGAGTAATCATTTTAATTTCAATTCGGATTTATTTTATTTGGATCCAATTTTAATAGTTTCAAGTCCAATATTTAGAGCCCAATATTTATAGTCCAATAATTATAATCCAATTACATAGGCCCAATTAAATATGTCCCAAAACGAAATTTTAAATCATTTCA